CCCCTTTCTGTCCCCACCCCCCCCCCCCCCCCCCCCCCCCCCCGCCAACAACCACCCCCTATTTTTCCAGTCCTCTGGACTCTTGACTTTCTACTGCTACTTCTGGCTTCTTTTTACTGCTGTCTTTTTGCCGCACCCGTGACTTTGGAGGTAGGTCAGACCGAACACCGAGCCTCCTCGAATTCGGGCGGGGAAAAATCTCGGAAGTCTCGTGTCCAAGTTGTGCACGTTAAAAAACCCTTGATAGTCCTAAAATCGTTATGAGTAGGCTTCCGCCCCGACCCGGGCAAAATTCAAAATGAATTCCTATCAAGCTGAAATTACTTAATGTATCTCGCGCGCTCAAGTGACCTTAATATGCATTTACGAGCACCGTAAAATGCTTACCAAAACAAACAAATGTACAAGGCCCACGAATGTCTATATGGAAAATTAAATCCAAAGACTACCGTAGTAAATCGTTAAGAGATAGGTGAACTTGAGTGGGTTTTTTTCAAAATTTAAATCATCATGCAACGAAAGACTTATTGTGATTAGAACAAAAATAAAACAAAAACTCAGAAAGCATGAGGGGTGGGACTGGCGAGGTCTACCTCTGCATGGAGGTTTGTGTGGGGGGATATATTTCACTTCAAAAGGCAGTCTTTTATCCAAATAAGCACCTTTCTTATTAACTTTTACTAAGCAGTAGCACATAGGGTGCAAGCAAATAGACATGGCGGCTTTATGACGGAAAGAAAACGGAACGATAGATTAGAACGTGTGAACAGACTACGCGATTCGATAAAACGGACAGTCCTAGCGCTCGACGAATCTGACACAATACATACATATCGTTGGGTATAGTCGGGCTTCAGGTTCAGCTGAGGGCAAATTAAGGGACACACTCAAAATCTATTTTATTCGAATTGTACTCGAGTTGTTTCCCTTGAAGGATACGTCTTAGATCGAAAGTTTGTCTCATAGTGCGGAAAGTAATAATTTATTTTAGTGATCCTGTGTATACATCCAAAAAGTGGTTTTTAATATAAGGCCCAAAGAGGAAACCTTTTTTTTTATTACTGAATCAAAATTGTTTGAGAAATATTTGTGTTTGGTCGCTGGCCTATAGAAATACAATGCAAAGTTTCGTGAGCACAGGTATATTGATAAACGAGTCCGAATTTTTTTTTAACATAGTCAGACGAAAGCGAACAAGCTTTAAATGTAATAATACACGGCTATAGGAACTGGGTTACCCCCCCCCCCCCCCCCCCCACCCAGGGCGGTGCCACTGACTGAAGTGTCTTTAGGCCATTCCCAAAAGGGGGGGGGGGGCATTTCTCGTTCTAATGCACAGTAGAATTGTACAAGGGCTGATCCAACGTCATGCTCATAACTGCTTGAACTACAACAGGGAACTGCTGCATTTTCTTTCCAAATCCTTATTATCTTCATTTTCCTCTACTTGTGTTTGTCCACTCTTGTGATCCGCTATTTCCGGGGTGCCTTGATAGTTGAAGCAGACTTTGTGCTGTTGAAGCTAGAGACGTGAGCAGAGTAAGTCTAATTCCCTGCAAGGACTTCTCTGTTGGCATCCACTCCTTGGCGCTCATATGACCTCATGCAGTTGCGAGCGCCGTAAAACATCTACCAAAAAAAAAAAGAAGGAACTGGGTCAGTTCCGAGATCCCCACTTCCGACCCGGTCCCAGAACAGCACAGAAAGCCATCCATCATCATCATGTTTTACTCTTTGTTGAACAATGTGGCTTTTTATTGTGCACCTGTAACTAAACTAGGAAGATGTCAGAGAATTATTTCAAACTATTTGTAAAATGACACAAGTCCTTAGAATTTGCACAGTGGGCCCCGGCTACAACAGGACAGCCGGGGCCGAAGTGACATCCCTGTTTTAGCCGAATCCTTTTTATAGACGGGAGCCACGATTATACACTATAACTTTGAGAGAACTGGGTCAGATTTGGGAGAGCCCAACTGGGACGCAGAATCCTTTTGAAATTTGCTGCCGTGCGGGATTAAATGTTGCGTGCAACATTTTTATATTGCGATAATTTATTGCTGCTAAAAACGGACTTCATTTTTTGAGTCAGCCTACCAAAATAAGCCTCGTGGCTCAGTAATCTGACTTGATGCGTGGTGTAAACTTTACAAACATTCTATTTTTTCAATTAATAGTGAAGTCATGTATTAAGTTCACCTAGTGTGTAACACATCTGACGTCAAAGCTTCTACCTTAACACTGTAGTCACTGAGCAGAACGGTGACTTAGTCAAAAGATATTCTTCTTTTCTTTATTCAGATGAACAGGTCCCATGAATGTCTTTGGAAAGCCAAAGACTTCAGTAGCAATTAAGAGGGGGAGCGGGTATATGAATAGTTTACGCCATTTTGCAAACATTTTAATCAAGATACAACAAAAAACTTTTGAGATTAAAAAGTAGACCTAAGCAAACTCTGAACAATATCAAGAAAGAACTTTTTAAAAATTGATATCGGGCAGGATCAGACGAATGCACTTTAAAAGCCTGTTTTTGTTGCTGTCCAAATGGACTTCTTTTTCTTTGTTTTCCTAATAAGTAACAAGATAATACGTTATTTTGTGGCTGTCGTTGCAAAGAAAAATAGCAGCTCTTTGACGCAAGGAGAAGGAATCTCACGTATCGTGGGAGAATATGACGATAGATCGGAACGTGTAAACAGACTACACAGTTCGCTAAAACGTACAGTCCTTGCATACAACGAATCTAATTGCTTGCCTGCAATCGGGGCAGTCGTCTCTGAACTTAATCGTCCACAGCTATTCGTGGGATCTGCATGTCTCAATATAGGTGGCTCTTGATTTCTCGATGGGGTTTCCAGTCCCTCGTCCGACCGTCCAATTTTTAAAGTATTTTGCGGCTACACGTGCCGATTTGTCGAATGAACCATAGATCATCCAATTTTTGTCCAATTTGTCGCTATGTGTAACCGGGCCTTTAGGGGGATGAAGTATCCAAGCAGAAAGACACGACGAAATAGACTTCCCAACTAACGAGTCCAACTCACGTCAGAACAACATATAGCTGAACCATCACACCACAGACACGTCCTGTGGGTGGTTGGGGGGTGGTCTGGTGTGGTTTGCTTCTTCTTTCCTATCAAACACCTATCGTCCTTATCTCCCCTTCTTCTTTTTTATGTTTGTCACTCTCATGTAACACCTCTAATCTTCTGGCACTCGTATGATCTTATGCTGTTGCGAGCGCAGTAAAACCTCTACTAAATTAAAAAGACATGTCCTGTCTATCAACATATCGCTTAACCAGAACACCTCAGACACCTCCTGTCTATCAACATCTCTTTTTCAAAAGCACATTCGTAATCTCATTCCTATCAAGTTTGGACAACATTTCATCAATTGGCTCGGCCATATCGGAGAGCGACGGTGAATTTGGAGGTATCACCTCTCCAACAACCTTACACTGATGAAAGGGGGACACACCTATAACATTTTGCATTTTCCGTCAAAATTGATTTCTTGGTATGAAGATAAGATAAGATAAGATAAGATAAGATAAGATAAGATAAGATAAGATAAGATAAGATAAGATAAGATAAGATAAGATAAGATAAGATAATATGTTATTGCTCTTGTTGAAATTTTTCTGAGGCTGTGAAGAAATGGGGGAAACACTTGTGGATATACAAGGGATTTATTGTATATTATTTTTATTTAAGAATTCCGACAAAGAGAAAAATAAAGCTGAGAATGATACAACATATAGGAATTTATCACAAACTTTAAAAGGTTCTATTAATGTAGATAGTATATTCGTATAACATTATGTGATTAGACAAAAAGTCAACAATAGCACGCATTAAACTTCACTTCAACGGCATCCTTTTTGCAGATGTTAGGAAAATTCCTTTGTTTCTTTCTTTGTTAGTACTTGGTGGAATGTATCTGCCTCCACGTGATCTTAAGATGTGTATGAGAATAATAATGTAAATACACACTTGAATATACTTATACTTATGGGGTTTTTTTTTTATTGTTCATCAATTCTGGTAAAATCTTATCCATAGAGTTTATAGAAACACAGCAAACGAACTGCATTCATTCTTGCAAAAAAATGCATTATGTATACAACGGACTTATTTGCACGTCTTTCCCTATTTCGATGAACTTGCCTATTTCAGTGCTGAGTCGGTTCCATCTACTTTTGTACAGACAAGATAAAATATTCATTCAAGAAAGCTGTAAATAAAGAAATAATATATATAGAAACTCCACATGTTGCAAATACGTTTTATAAAACGTCATCAATATAACCAGTAGAAAAAAGAACAGTGAACCAGTTTGGTAGATTACAATGAGAGTACAGTACAAAAGTCTCTACAATAGTGAAGTGGCTAATTTTCCTTGACGCTAAGTCAAGTTCATCATCTATACATATATTATATTTGTGAAAGTTCGTCACTTTGGCGCCTAAAACTTCCGAACCACTTAACTTTCGAATTTGACCAAATTAAAGGTGGTTCAGAATCATTTAAAGGGTGCTCAGTTTTATTGAGGAGTCTGAAGTCACTGTAGTTTAATTTTTTTGTTTTTCATTAGTTTCGTTTAGATCTTTACTTGGGAAAGTATTGTAAACAAGTGAGGTTTCCGTTCGCTAGCCGTGCGCAATGTTTCCACACCTTTGAAATTCTGGAGTTCGCAACCACGAAAGCAGAATAGAGAATCAATCTATACATGATAATCACTATATCTATAACCTTCTAATTTTTTGCATCTCACAGGATTTATTGCTCCATTCCAGTAGATTGTAAATATAGTAGGCCAATGACTTTCAGTTGAGGTTAATGCACCGATCATTCCTTTCATCGAAATGGGGCCCAGCTAGTTAAATTATAACTTTGCACTCAGAGAGGAGACAATAAAAAATTAGGGTCTTTAGCTTTTTTGGTGTCATCCTGTATAAAAACAGAAATAAGCATTAAACTTGAGGGGTTTTTTTTAAGTAAGAAGGGGGGGGGGGGAAAACCACTGTCACGAACACATAAAAATTGACCGCAAAGATGGAAAGAATACAGGTTTACATTTTTGCAATCTTGCTATTGTTGTATCAGTGTTGTTTACCTCCCACTGAAAACAACAACAACAACAACAACAACAACAACAACAACAACAACAACAACAACAACAACAACAACAAAACAAGCACGGAAACAAACAAACAAACAAACAAATGGATTTCTAAAAAGCAATCAAATTAAGTAACTGTCAGTGTCGCAATGTTGTCAGTTATCAAGCGGTCGGATTTTCATTTCGCTGAAGGAGACAGTGTCATGATAACCTGTTAGTGGATGCCAAGTCAGGCCCAAAGCATAATTTGTGTTTCCCCAGTCCCCGTTGAGATTACTTTCGTGACATGAGGTATACCACCAAGCTCCGTGGTACGTTGCTGCACAGCTACTGGAATAGGCATCGTTGTCTCGGTCTTTGGTTGAGAAGGGCGTGCCGTTGAGGGCTGTGAGTGGGTCTGAAGCGTTGCCAGAATACCCGGCTATCTGTAGGGCGTAGTTCTCCGGTTCACCATGCAGAGAAAAGTTACTGTAACTAGCATAATACGTGTTGCCGTTGAAGCCCAGATCGACCCGAAGTTCATACCGCCTCTGAGGAAGAGAATATGCAAAGTAATGTTGGCCTCACATTAGGAACTGACTTGATCTGCTGTCCACATAGATAAAAGGTCTCCTCTCTCTGGAAGGCTACATTTAGGTAGCCGTGACGTCATGCGCTAGAGACACTATTAAAATCTAAAGGATGGCGTTCCAAATTAACGTTTACTGACTATAGGTGACACATACATACAATGATGTGCTCGCCCATGAAGGTGCGTTGTAGAAAAAAGCAGTCGTGGTGCCACAATAAATATGTCCGCGGACAGAAGTCAGGGGGCTCTCGAGGTCGAGAGTTAAGGTGATCGCCTCTCGTTCAATAATTCCCGGGTTCAAAACCTGAGAGTGACCGAAAATATTCCTGTCTATAAAATGTTCTCCTTTCACTTCCCCTCCTGCTTCCTTATCATATTCTGTCCTCTGTTTTCATCTCCACTTTCTCCCCCCCCCCCCCCCCTCTTGGCTCCTGACTTCTTTCTAGTGCTACTCCTGACTCCTTCTTACAGCCGTCTTTCAGCCACACCCCTGATCTTAGGGTTGGCAAACAGAACGCTTAGCCTTCTCAGATAAAGGGGGAAATCTCGGTCGTCCCGTGTGCAGGTTGCACAAATTAAAGATCCCTTGGTGGTCCTAAATCAATAAAAGTAGGCTTCAGCAGCCACTTGCGCAAAATTCGCACTTAATTCCTACCAAACTGAAACGGCCTAATGTGTCCCGCACGCCCCATTTGGCCTTATACAGTTGAAAGGGCCGTACAAAACTTACCAAGCAAACAAACAAAAACAAAAGCCAAACAAAAAACTAACACCC